AGGCCTATAGCTTGTCTTATTTTAGGGGTAGGAGGCGGTAATCATAGAAAAAAATAACAATAATGGTCTAATCAGGATAATACTACTTCACACGGGCTACTACAATAACATACTCAGTCTATGAATTTTTTTCCAATGAACAATTATACTGGAAGAGACAATGGGCCTAATAAATCGAAATTACAATTTTTACAACATGATTGCTGATTTTCCTTTCAAACCATGATCCTTACTAAGGTGCGTCGCCAGTTTACCATTTCATAATCATCATGCGTTAGTGTGTTTATGTGTGATTCCTGAAGTTAGGATTTATCATATTTATTGTTTCATTGCTTTTAAACAAAATTGTCATGGCTATAATAGGCCTATATTCTAGAAGAAATGGGTGACGGAAAGTTAATAATAATCAATGATATTAACTTTTTCCATGTCAGCTGTATTGTAATGTAATTGCATAAAAGTTATAGATGTGTATAAGAGACAGCATATGTACAATGCATAAACAATATTTGCATACACACCAGACCACAAAAGAGCATTTTCAGTTGCTGTCCATGCAATCCTGTTGGATAACGAAGGAGAGACATTTCCAGCCCAAACCATATTATATTTGCCAAGATATCGGCGAACATTTCTTGCAAGAAAAGCAGCTTCTCGGCGTGAATTTATAGTCACCATCTCTAGGTCTAACTCATGACACCTAGTTTCGGCAGCTACTCTGTCCATTGGAGACTCTAGAAACGCATAATATTTTCCATTCCATAACATGTTGACGTGTTGTTGTGCTGGAGTAAAAAAAAAGTTCTTAATTCATCTGGTTCAACAAAACAAATAATTTTCCTATGAAAAATTGCCGTATATTCGAATACTGTTGGGAAATATATTTATTCGAGGGAGGCGTTTACTTGAGAGAGGCGTTTTCTTTCTTTATTTATTTTTTATTTGTGTGTATGTGTGTGTAAAAGTGAGACGTCTATACTAACATTAACGTCTCTTAATATCATTATCATTGTGACAGTGGAACTGCAAAAACATAATTGCCGTCAAAATGTGTTATTGCGTGATCATAAAGATTTAATAATCCGAACCAAGAATGTACATACTGGAGAACATTACTAAAATTTGTTAATAATAATAATAATGCTGTTTTCCATTAGTTCCATTTGTTTACTCTCATTTAGGACAAGTTTCTTTGAGGGAGAATTCTGTTTTTCAAATAATAATAATAATACATTTGGTATTAATTTTAACTTCGGTATTATTACTGTATAATCATTGTTACATTCGGCATCACCATCATAGTCA